AGAACACTGTGCATTATTCCAATCGAAAAAAAATTGACGTCTTAGATCGGTGAAATTGTCTTCTTTATAGATCATTTTGTTGTTGATTTTGATTGTGATTTTTGAGATTAATAAATTTATCAGTGTTGTAATGCTTTTGTTGTGGTTACGTTCATCACCACAAACAGACATCACTTCGGTTACAACGTTAAAAATTTCAGAGATTATTGTCAAGCTTATCGCCGATATCCTCGTCTCATCTGTATAATACGACGAACACCACCACGACCACCACATCCAATTCCAATTCGACGTCAACAAATTCCTCCTCCAATAATCCCAATCGATCAACATCGATCATCCCTTTAAGCGGATCAGCTGCACCACGCAATATCGCATCTACGCTAAACGTCTTATCGTCGAATAGCACCGACCCGCTTAATCGACAACGTGATAATAATAGTATCAGTACCACTAGCAGTAACGCTATGTTACTTGATCCTATCCAACGGTACGTACACTTTGAATTCTGTCCTTTCACATCACCAACAGTTATTCTTTTTATGTAAATTCCTCTCAGTTATAAATCACTGAATAATTACATTCGTTCTTCTTCTTTCGAAATAGTCACCGAACAATATTTAACGGTTAGCAATCGTATATCTGCTTCGCCTGACGTTTAGCAAATGTGATGGCATTGGGGATATTATTATCAACTTGTTTAATTTGCTATTGTCTGTCATTATTCTGATAAATTGCAGAACACCATTGCCTCCAACGTCAGTTGATCGAGCAATGATGAACGTGGTACTTTCCCAGCCGTTAGGTGCACATCATGCCACAATAATCGATGATACCTGCAGTCCACCTGTATCGAGTGGAAGGTTATATTTGTTATTTATTCACATAAATGTTGTCATTAACCATGATTGCTTTGTATTATGAATGCAAAATTCAGATCGTCAATAGTACGTGATACTCCCCCGCCAGCTGCAGCTGCGTTGTCCTCTTCGAAATGTGATCAACCGTCAAATTTGGAAATATTGGCTTCATCTGCCACCATTGTCCCACTGCCATCTAACATGGGCACTCTGATTGGTTCATCGCTCGTTAAGGTGTTTATTACTGCATTCACCTTAGTCAACAATTTGTAACTGTATTTTTGTAATATTGTCATTGTTACGGTTGTTTGTTGCGATTATCTTTTGCACTCATTATAAAATTTGTTCATGTGAATTTGCGACCTGAAATGATGAGATGTGAACGATGGAAATTTTAGCCTGATATATCACCGGTGCTAAGTGATAA